CACATTTTGATAATTTATCTATTTCCAAGGAGGGAGAAGGTTTAGGGGTAAAAATGGTTGTCCTTTTAGTCACACTTTATAAAGTACTCATTAGCTGGGAGTGAGGAAAGCAACATATTGAAGGAATAATAAAATACTGTTGTGTTTGTATCCCTGACTTTATAAAGAGATAATAAAATACTGTTGTCTTCATGATTCAGTGGCAGAGATGAGTATTTGTGACAGAGACTGTATCATCTGCTGAGTTTAAAATATTTACTATCTGGCCTTTACAGAACAAGATTAACAACTTCTTCCTGAAAATTTTAAGCGTTTTTAATTCATGAACATGGTATAATGCTCTAATTTAGGTCTTCTTTAGTTCTCACAACTTTTACTACTTTCAATGGTCTGGTCTTACACATATTTTGTTAAATCTATTCTAAATATTTTATGGTTTTGTACAAATATATTTTCTTCTTAATTTTTATTTCCAATTGCTTGTTACTGCTATACATAAATAAAATTGACATTAATTTTTGTATATTGATGTCATATCTTATGACTTTACTTAACTCTTTTTATAGTTACAGTAACTTTTTTGTTTATTCTTTTTGATTATGTAGAAAATCATGTTATCTGTCAGTGAAGACAGATATACCCTTCTTTATCAATCTATATTCATTGGATTTCATTTTCTTATTTCATTGTTCTGTTAAAGTCTCCAAAACCATGTTAAATAAAAAGGGTGAGACCAGAAATCTTTGTCTTTTTCTTGATCTTTAGTGGAAAATAACTCAGTCTTTCACAATTAAGTATGATGTTAACTGTTAGTCAGTCACAGACACCTTTTATCTTATACTTTCACTCTAGTCCTAGTGTTCTATAAACTTGTATCAAGAATAGATGTTAAATTCTATAAAGAGTCTTTTCTTCTGTCATGTCAATTGAAGTGATCATATCATGTTCCTTTTTGGTTTGTTGATATGGTAAATTTTATTGGCTAAATTTTGACCAACTTGGCATTACTGGAATAAACTTCACTTGGTCATGATGTATTATTCTTTCACGTGTTGAAAAGTCTCATTTAGTAATATTTGGTTCAGGATTTTTATATCTATGTCATTATGGATTTGGCCTGCAGTTCTGCTTTTTGGTAAGATGTTTGTCTGATTTTGGTATCAGAATGATGCCAGGCTCATAACATCATTTGTAAAGTTTCCCACCTCTTGTATTTTCCAAAAGAGTTTGTGTAAAACTGATATGATTTCTTTTTTAAATGTTGAATAGAATTCACTAGTGAAGCAATTTGAGCTTTGAATGCTCTTTGCAGAAGTTTTTTAACCACAAATTTAATTTATTTAATACATATAGGACTGCTGAGGTTATCTATTTTTTCTCAATTAATCTTTGCTAGTTTTTAAAAGACAATTTATCTTTTTAATCAAAGTTGTCAAATGTATTGACACAAAGTTATTCTAAATATTTTTCTATTATCCTTTTAATGTAAGTAAGAGCTGTAGTAATGTCATCTTTTTTTGTAGCTTATGTATCTCTTTTTTTCTTGATCAATCCAGCTAGAGGTCTATTTATTATAAGCTTCTTTTCGAAGAACCAGCTTTTGGTCTTACTGATTTTCTCTATTGTTCATCTGTTTTGTATTTCAGCAATTTCAATTTTTCCCTTTATTGTTACCTTCCTTCTCTACACTTTAGATTGTATTTCCTCTTTTAGTAATAGCTCCTTAAGATGGACTTAAAGATAGTTGACTTATGATTTTTGTTTTCTAGTGCTAGCATTTAATGGTACAAACTTTTGCCTAAGCATTTCCTTTAGCTGCATCTCACAAATTTAATATGCTGCTCTTTCAATTTTATTCAACTCAAAATATTTGTTTCTAATGTCTTTGGTGATTTCTTCTGTACTTATAACTTATTCAAATGTGTATTCTTCAATTTTCAAATATTTGGAATTTTTTCAGATATATTCTGATTATTGATTTCAATTTTAATTTTGCTGTGGAAATAGAACCTACTTTGTAATTTTTCTTCATATTGCATTTGTTGAAATTTGCATTATGACCCACAATCACAATGTTGTCTCTTTTAATCACTGTCTTAGAATATTTAGGCTGTTATAGAACAAATTACTGTAGACTTAGTGACTTACACAACAATTTATTTCTCATAGTTTTGGAGGCTGAAGGGGTGAGATTAGGGTGCCAGTGTGGCCAGGTTCTGATGAGAGCCCTCTTCCCGGCTACAGACTATAGTCTTCTCTTTGAATCCTCATGTGGTGGAATGAGAATGAGGATTCCTTTTATAAGGGCACTAACCCCATTCATGAGGCCCCACCCTCATGACTTAATCAGCCCCCAAAGACTCCATCTCCTAATGCCATTCTATTGGACATTAAGATTTCAACATACAAATTTGGGGGATTAATAAACATTCGATCCACTGTAATGATTGTTTCCTGGGCACTCAAATCTAATATGTACTCTGCTGTTGTTGGATATAAAATTCTATAAATATCAATTAAGTCAAATTGACAGTAGTATTAAAGTCTTCTATGTTTTAAATATTTTTTCTTCCGCTTTTTCTATTCTCCTGAGACTATAATTACTAAATGTTAGAATATTTAATATTGTTCCAAAGCTCTAGGCTAATCTATT